TTGAATCCTCTCCCCTTTACTGTAAGCTCCCCAAGTTTAAATCATTATACCCTTTCCCTAAATGTCTACCATTTAAGTTTTCCTGCACTTCTCCTCGACACTTTCAATATTATCACTTATCTAGGAGTGTGCTGAGTCACTTGGTACTGGCTTAAAGAGCAGATTTGTTAAATACAGAGTGTGAAAATTAAATCTTGAAAATTAGACAACGTTTATTTGTGTTTATTTTCTTGATTATCTAGACTTAAGAAATGAAGTTAGCAAGAAAAAAAGATTATTATTCAAATTTAAAATATGTCATATACATGTATATATATATATATATATATATGTATGTATGTATGTATGTATTTTTTCCTTTGGAGAGCCAGCAATAAAGCATGTACCAGTATACTCCTACAATATACAATGAATTGTGCATTCATATTTGCTTTTCTATAACCCCTTCCACCTTATAAACTTATTCTATGTGTTTTGTTTTGTTTTGTTTTTTCTTTCTTTTTTTTTTTTAGTGGAAAGTCATCGAGAACAACTCTGTGTCATATCTAAATCTTTTATAAGGCCACAAACAGAGCATGTCAAATATATAGTTTTTTTTTCTCCTACACATCCATCCATAATTTTTTTAAAATTTTTTTTTAGGCAATTGGGATTAAGTGACTTGCCCAGGGTCACACAGTTAGTAAGTGTCAAGTGTTTGGTCTTAGGTTGGATTTGAACTCAGATCCTCCTGACTTTAGGGCCACTGTTCTATCCATTGCGCCACCTAGCTGCCCCTAAATCCACCCATAATTGAAATGAATGATGATCTTCAGAGGCTGAGCAACTTGTCCAAGTTCACTTAGGTTATAAATTGTCACAACTAGACATGTGTGTGTATGTGAGTGTGTGTTTTTAATGTAAAAATCCACCCCCTTCCTTCAAACTGCTGTAGTGTCTAAAATATTGCAATTCATGAATCATTCATTGGGCTTTCTTTTTCATAGACTTGGTTTTTATTTTAAAATTTTAAATACTTATTAGCAAAGCATGAAATTAAACTGTCCACACTTATGTGTTACTGATTTACGGGGACACCTTCTTCTCCAGACAGGGGGAAAAATGGTGCATTCCAAGAGATCTTAAATATCTATGGATATGAGAGATCAGGGAGATTAATTAGAAGACATCAAAACAGTGTGCTTGGTTCCTGAGATTGTGCAATACCAAAAGGAAAGTATATGGGGAAAGTGTCAAATACAATCTTCAGTTGTAATTGGGGCCTACTCCTGAAATTTTGCCAAAATGTATTGCCCAATGGCCTTTGCAGAATAAAAAATTTCTGTTCATATTAGATTATTCCTTGCCACTTGTGATTCTAGCCTGAAGGAAACTGTTTTGTTTAGAGTAAATGTCTGGGGACCTTAAGGCAAGCAAGATATTGATCTCATGAGTCTCACTTAACTTTGTCAGATGACACATAGAATTGGAATATGGGTCTTGTTATTCTTATTAAATAAAAACAGGAAAGGTAAATACAAAATGGAACAGCATTGGACAATAAGAAATATACTTATATGAAGAAACCAAGGAATTATATCAGAATGTGATGGAGAATATCTGAGTGCATATCAGTGGTGGCAAATGAATTAATATTGTAATCAGATTTAAATATGAATCCGATTGATAGAGGTGAGAGAAGAGGAGTTTGAGGAAAACATTATAAGTTATTCACAGAAATATAATAATATATTAACACATAAATCTAGTTATCCAAAAATCATTTGAACCCTTTTGTGCCAAAGAAAGGAGTAGCTAACAAATTCTTCATGTGTCTTAGTGATTATCTCTCCTTCAAAAATTAGAGAAACCCAAAATTGGAAATTATATTCTGGATCTGATTTTTATCATTATGAAGGAACATAGGGTGGAAAAAAATGAGGAATTTTGACATAGTGACAGTTTATGATTAAAAAAAAAAACTAGAGAGTCCAACAGGAATATATGATTCAGACAAAGGAAATTGCAAAGGGCTCAGATGGAAGCAATGAAAAGTAGTTAGTATCCTAAGCAATAAAAATCTGCTGACAAGCTGATGCAGGAAGACTATGATTCTTGAAAGGAAAGAAGCAATGAGAAGTAGCCATTATGAGTAATAAAAAGAACCATACAGAGATCATTAAAATTCTTAAGGTAGAAGAAAAAAGTAAGTAAGATTGAAGCAAAGGTATAGTAGAATCTTCTGAGAAGTATCAGAAATGCTGGAGCTCAGGATAAGTTAAAGCTTAGATGAAAAGCTAAAGACAATTTCCCCCCAAAAAAAACTATTTGGGGAAGAAATAGGACCCTTAAAGAAAGCAGAGTACCACTAATTGGAATAGATTGGAATTGTGAGAGAGGTGTTTATCTTTCATTTTTCTTCTAGTTTTCCAACAAAACATGAGTTTTGAACATTTTATGAGAGACCAAATATATTGCAAATGGTACTGATAGTGACATAAGATAGTGACAAATATAAGAAGAAAGGTTCCAGTTGACCTTGGTGACTTATAAGTCACATAGTCTAGAAGAACTATATTTGTAGAATCTGAAAGAACCAGTGAATGTGACTGAAAATTTGTTCTCCATAAACTTCAAAATTTCTGTGATAATAGGGGAAAAACTAAAGGATTGGAGAAAGGTTAACAGCAAAATTTTCAACAAAAGGTAAAGATTGATGATAAAATCTAGGTCATTCACCTTATTTTCGATTCCCAATTATAATATAGACCATATTAAAGGCAAATTAACAAACATCAAGAAAATAAAATCATACATGATCATATAAATTCAGCATTATTTCATAGAAAAAAGGCATGTTAAATTTACTTTATTGATCTTTTTTTAAAGAGGATACCTAAATTAAAGAGAAACAGTATGGTGTGGTGGATCAAAGAATTCGGTTTACGTTTTACCCCTAGAATGTACAAATTGTACGAACATGGACAAGTCACTTGATCTAACATTGTCCCAATGATACTTTGCAATTCTATAAGTTCCAGAAGAGTAAGTCATCTACATTGACAAAAAGAGTTTCCATACCAAGAAACTGATGGGGTAAATAATGGGCCTAAATTAGTAAATTAAAAGAACACTTAATGTTTAGACAGGGATTTACCAGAACATTTGACAAAATATTTTATTTTCTTAATGTAGGAAAAGGTAGAGAGATATGACTCACATGATAATATAATATGGTGAATTCAGAATAGCTTGAATGTGAGACCCAAAGAGAGGTCACTAGTGATTTCTTGTCAATTTAAAAGGAAATCTCCAGTGGAATGCCACAGTACTATATGCTTCTTGTTATGATGTTAAAAAATGTCTATCAATGACTTGAACACAAGGCTTAGATAGTCTGATTATCAGTTTTACAGATCACATAAAGGAAATGGAATAGGCATTTAATAAGGGCTGACTATGAGCTAGGTACTATACTAAATTCTTGGCAAATACTTCATTTTATCCACAAAACAATTAGAAAATAATAGCATATGGAGATCAGACAGGATTTGTTTTTAGCTAAAGCATTAGGCTACAGCTTTTTAGGATGGAATTTAATAAGAGTAGATATAAATACTTACTAGTGGATTTCACAAATAAATTTCACAAATATAAGAAAAACTGTATATGAGTAGTTATCAGATTATGTAAAAAAGAAAGCTCAGGAGATTTTTAGTGAACCCAAAGCTTAATGGGAATTATATATGTATATTTTTGTATCTGTGTGTATTTGTATATAGATAGACAGATAGATAAATAGATACATATATATATGCGTATATGTGTATGTATGTACATATATATGCATATATGTACACATATATTTAGAAATTGGAATTTATCCATATACATATACATATATAGAGAGAGAATAAATATGGTGATTTTGGTATCAATCTTGATGAATAAAGTCTCTATATCCTTCTATAAAGAAATATTCATGTTCAGTCATGTCTGACTTAATGACCCCACCAAATGACAGATCAAAACAAGCTAAAAAAAATAAAGCAGTGCTTGACTTACGTGAGTTTGTCTTCTATTAGGGGAGACAACATTCAAATATATTATTACAGAAAATAATACAACATAAATGTATTCTACTCATGGGCATATAAAAAGTTTGAGAGGAAAGAGATGGAATTCCTCCTGTGAAGGACAGTAAGAAGGCAAGTTTAACTGGACAATAGAGCGCATGAAGAGGAACATTTTATATAAAGGTCAAAATTTATTTTAGAGTCTGATTAGGAACATAATTAAACAGAAAGGAAGAAATTTGAGTTAGTGTTCAAATATGATGGAATCTTTGGAGGTTAGAGGGACACAAGTTCAGATACATGCTTTAGGAAATTACATGGCAGCTATGGGAGAGATATTAGATCCAGAAAAGAATGTAAGAAGTAATTAGTAGAAATACAAAGAGAAAATGTGGGATTATTAAGGATTTGGGTTCATCTCAATAAAGCTGTCCAAAGCAAATGGGATGCTTTCAGAGAAAAAGTGAGTTTCCTCCCACCTTGAAAGTCTTCAAACAGAGGTTTGTTTATAAATTGTCATCTTTGACTGCTGGTTTCCTTCAAATCCCTGCCATAAACCCACATTTTGCAGGAAGTCTTCATCAATCCCAATCACTTCTAGTATCTTCTTTTTGGTGATTTTATTTGTCCAACTTATCCTGGGTATAGCTTATTTATACAAAATTGTTTACATTTTGTCTCTCCCTTTAGATTGCATTTTGTTTTTTTCTGTGTCCTTAGCATGTAGGACAGTACATGACATATAGCAAATAATAATGTTAATTGGACTGACTACTGAATGACTACTGTCATAGTGACATATACATACATATATATATAGATAGATAGATAGATAGATAGATACATATAGATATACATTAATTTGGGGTTGGGATATATGGTCATTGAGATCTCTTCCAAATATACTAAGATGCTGGTATCCTGTGATTTTCTACAGTAGGAACCATGATGAATGATGCCCAAAATGAGAGTGATGTCATCTTCATCCTTTTAGGATTCTCTGATTACCCAGAGCTCCAGATCCTTTTATTCCTGCTATTCCTGGTGATATATCTGATTACTGTAGCAGGAAACTTGGGCATGATTGTGATCATCAGGATTAACCCCAAACTCCACACACCTATGTACTTATTCCTTAGTCACTTGTCTTTTTTAGATTTCTGTTACCCTACTATAATTACACCCAAATTGTTACAAATCTTGGTTGTGGAAGACAGAAGCATCTCTTTTGCTTCCCGCATCACACAACATTCTTTTGCTGCAATCCGTGTGGTCACAGAGGCATTCTTATTAGCAGTGATGGCCTATGACCACTTTGTGGCAATTTGCAATCCCTTGCTCTATATAGTTGTCATGTCCCAGAAATGCTGTGCCCTGCTGCTGACAGCAGCATATACATGGGGCATAATTTCTTCTATCATATTCATCTACTCACTCCTTATATTATCATATTCTGGGACCAACATCATTAATAATTTTGAGTGTGAGTATTCTGCTATCTTTTCTGCCTCTATCTCTGATACACATGCTACAGAGATGATCTTTTTTATCCTTGCTAATTTTAACACATTTTTCACCCTCACAATTGTACTCACATCCTATCTTTTTATTTTTATCACTGTCCTGAAGATACATTCAGTTAGTGGGAGATATAAAGCCTTCTCTACTTGTGCCTCCCACCTGACAGCTGTTACCTTATTCTTTGGAATCATCTTCTTCCTTTACTGAGTGCCCAGTCCCAAAACCTCATGGCTTCTAGTAAGAGTAAACACTATTTTTTATACAGTGGTGATCTCCCTGCTGAACCCCTTAATATACAGTTTGAGGAGCAAAGATGTGAAAGAAACTATCAAGAAATTAATAGAAGTGCCAGCTAGGTGGCCCAGTGGATAGAGTGAATGTTGGGCTTGGAGTCAGGAAGCTCTTAGTCCAAATATGGCCTCACACACTTATTATCTGTGTGACCCTGGAAAAATCCCTTAACCCCGTTTTCCTACTTTCTTCATTTCTAAAGTGAACTGGAAAAGAAAATGACAATCTGCTGCAGTATCTTTGTGAAGAAAATCCTAAATGCAGTCAGAAAAAGTCAGACACAGTTCATTGACAAAACAATAACAACAATATATTTTCTCACTAAAATTATTGGCACTGATGATTGATTCATCTCCTGGTTGTCCCATTCGGGGAGAATTCGTGGGGATATTTATTTAATATATCCATTACTTTGTAGTAATGTACTACTTTTCTAGTTTCTAACATTTGGCTACTACAGGTATCCATAAGAGATCCATGACCCATATATAAATGAAGAAGCATTATTGTTTAATGTGAAAACAATTACTTCAGAAAAAGAAAGACAAAACAAAAACAATTAAATCATCCCCCAACAAAACCAAAACTCTTCTACATAACTTAAATGGGTGAAAATCAGCTTCATGCCAAAAGTGATCTACTATCATTTGGTGGTAAAATAAATTTACTCTTTCACAATATTGGACATCTGTTTTCTTACTGCAAGCTTCTATTCTCAATAATGTATGGCAAAGAAAGGATAAAAAATGAGGTGAAAGCTGGGTATGAGGAGTTTGTTTAGTGATGAGAAACACACATGTGAGCATCAACCATTGATGTTGAAATAGTGTTGAAATAGACACAGTGTTGACTAAATACTATAGCAGTGATTCAGAATGACTCGTTTCATTGTAGTCTAACAACAATTGATAGTGGACTGAGAGTGTGGAAACAAAGAAGTGCCTTGCATATTCTTCTTTTGATATGAATTATGAAACCTTAGAAATAGAACTCCTATATTTAAAGAAAAAAAATCACACTTTCCTTTGTCCATTTCCTGGAGTTCTCAAACCTTTGGCTCAGGACCCCTTCATAGTCTTAAAAATCAAGGACCCAAAAGAAGTTTTGTTTCTCTGTAATATATCTATAATTATATACTATATTCAAAATTAAAATACCTTAGTATTACTATGATTTTTTTTTGCCTTAAATACCCCATGAAGCTACCCCATTACTTTTCTGTAGTTTTGGCTACCTGAAGTAAAATCCCATCTTTTACAGGAAGCCTTTCTTCTGCTAGAGAGATAGGTAGATAGAGATATATGTCTGTGTGTGTGTGTATATATACACACTTATGTGTGTATATATACATATATGTGTATATATGTATAGATGTGTACCTACATATGCATACACATGTGTATGTGCATATATGTGTACATGTATATGTATATATGTATGTATGTGCATGTGTGTATATATCTATATCTATATGGCATTCCATATTAGATTTTAAGCCCCTTGAAGGCAAGGAATATCTTTTGCCTCTTTTTACATATCCAGCATTTAGTACAATTCTTGCTAAATAGCAGGTGCTTACACACGTTTGTTATGTGAGAGTCAGTGGAAGGGTCTCAGAAACCTTGAGAACTCTTTGAACTACACTTGGAGAGCTATTGCTTTAAAATTATCTCATTTTGATCCTTCTTTCAAAAATAAAATAATTAACAATCTTTATTTTATTCTAGACAATGATAAAATTCTACAATTGGTCTCAAATATCTATGAAATAGCCAACTTCCAAGACTAAGGAAGACATAAAATAGAGATTGTTCTTTGGAGCTATAACTCAAGTCAATGCCAATGTATTCAGTACCCACTATCTACTTAGCTCTTTGTTAATCTATTGGTATAAAAGAAAAGGCAAAAACACTCTTTGGCCACAAGAAACTAGCAATCTAATTGGGGAAACCATGAAACATCTATATACAGAAAGGATATATATAGCATATTATTATAAAAATATCCAGAGATTATATAGTGACTGCTACCAATCAAAATGATCAACATGTTGACAGGTAAGAGGTGAAATCCAGTTCATTATGAACTTCAGCTTAGGCAGAGAGTTCTTAATTAACTCTGAGTAATGAACAAAGATTATTTTAAAGCTTGTATACTCCAATTACATCAAGAAAAAAAAAGAAAAAAAAGAAGGTATTATTTTGGATTGTAGCTGCCAAAAGGAGGTAGGAATTTAAGACCACTGGAAGGAGAAAATAAATATTCATATTTCAAAATATATGCCTTTAAGATTTTCACTTAAAAAAATGTGAAGAAAAAAATCTCATCAGATCTAGTTAATCCATAACCAATTACAATGAAAAATTCTGGGATTTACAAACACCAGGCAGATATCATATTTTTTTTACCCCATCTGATTTTTTTTAATATCAATCAAAATAATTAGAAGTCTTAGCTATTTTAGCAATATTATGAAAATCCTCAGCCAGATACATGATTTTAAGTTACCATGCTGGAACCAAATGATAATGGAAGAAAGGAAAATTTAAAAAAAAAACAAAACTTTTTCTGACAACGCATATGAGATTATATTAAAGGCACAATGCTAACATTAGGTGGAGGACAAGGGGAAACTTATTGGAAATGGTGAGACTTTAGCAGAGACCTAAAGGAAACCATGGAAAGTAGGAAGCAGAAACAAGTATAAGAGAGAGAATGCTAAGCATGTGGGATAGTCAGTGAAAATTCACAGAGAAGGGATATGAAAACTCTTCAAGGGAAGTAAAGACATTGGAATCACTGGATCATAGAATTTGTGGTAAAGAATGAGATTAGAAAAATGTAAATGTAAGGGGGACAAGGTCATAAACAGCTTTAAAATATAATCAAAGACTTTTTTTTATATTTGAAACTGGAAGCAATGTTGAATTAATAGAGTTTATTGAGTAAGGGAATGGTCAGACCTACACTTTAGGAAGACCACTCTGACAGCTCAGAGTAGGATGGATTGGAGTGCTTAGAGACTTGAGGCAGGGAAACCATCTAGAGAGATATTGTAATAGTCCAGGTGTAAGATGATGAGGACGGAACTAGAAGGGTATCATTGTCAGAGCAGAGAAAAACATGTATCAAAGTGAAGAGGTGGGGGGTTGGGGTGCTCCTAGTTGCACAGAGGCACCCCAAGATCGTGGGAGCTTTTGGAGTGCTTGGAAAAAGCCCCAGATAGAGGCGTGGATCTGGTGAAAGAATTCAACCCAGATCTTCTTCCAGCCAGAGAAAAAGTTTATTAAAGATAAAGCAGATAGGCCAGACTCCCAAGGAACCCAAACATCAGTGATCTAAATGGGGGCAAAGGTGGTCAGGTGACACTCATAAGGATGAGCGTGGGGGGGGGGGGTGAGGCAATCTCAGCCTCTAGGCTTGAGAACAGCTCAGCTTCTAAATGGGGACTGGGGGCTAAGGAGGCCAGGTGAATCTTAAGCCAAGTGATGCCGGAAAGACAGGAGGGTGAGAGAGTCTCAGCCTTTAGGGGCATGAGAAATTCCCAGCATCATAATGGGGGAAAGGTGAGTCTTAAATATAGAAAGACTGTGGGAGGGATTTAGGAGTGGCCAAGCAGTTTGGAGTGATGGGAGGCAGGGCCTAGGGAGATCTGGATGGGAGTGGTTAGTAAACTGGGGTGAACAGAACTCCTGGGTCCTGAACCTCATGGCGCCTAGCTAGGATTAAGGGTGAACAGAGGAAGGGGGGTTGGTTGGGTCCATTTGGAAGGTAATAAAACAATGAGAATAGATAATGAAAGGAGCTGAAGGGGGGGGTTGCTTTCAACTGGAGCTAAAGAGAGCTTTCAAAGGGAAATAAGGCAGTTTCTGAAACTTTAAGGTTTTCCTGGGACCAGTAGACAAACTGAAGTCAGGTTCTTTTGGGGGCCAGGAAGGAAAGGTGCATAACAAAAGGTCAACAAATGGGAGACAAATTCCTTTTGTCAAAAGGGGCAAAGGTAAACCCCTTCAAAACAGGTGGTGTGAAGGCAAAATCGATGAGGTATTGCAACAGATTGAATATGGCTATTGAGAGCAAGTAAGAAGTCAAAGATGATGTATATTTGTTCGCCTGGGTAACTAGAAGAATAAATAATGTCCTTGACAGTTAGGAAACTTAGGAAAGGAGGGAAATTGAGTTTTCAAGAAAAAATAATATGTTTAGTTTTGGACATGTAGAATGAAAATATCTATAGTGTCTCCAGATATCCAATAAGAAGTTTGAGATGTGAGACTGATAGTGTAAAGTGAGATTAGGGCTGGATAAATAAATATGAGAAACATTAGTATAAATATGGTAATTGGATCCATAGGAATTTATGAGATCACCAAAGAAATAGTAAGAACAGAGGAGTGTAAAGATACTTTTATCTCTGAGAGGTGCAAGATGTTTTATCAAAGGAATATTTCCATGATTTCATTCTTATTAGTGGCCTCTGCATTCCTTTGATTTTTTTTTCCTAACTTGCTTGTGAATATTTTAGGTTTCTTCTTTAGAAAGATAAGAATTTTGACTGCCTTGTGTGCAGTAATTCCTACTGTTAATGGTCATTAAGAAGCCACTAAGAAATATCTGATTATTTTCAAATTACTCTGTTTACTAGCAAATATGAGTGTGTTATAGAGAGAAAACAAAACAAAACAAAAACGTTGTAGTAACATTTTGAACAAAAGGGTCAAAGAATCTTTTATAAAACATAAGAAGATTTATTGAAATATATGGGGAGAAGGTTCTGCAGGAAGATTTTAGTAAGAGAAAAAGGACATCAGAGGCCAACAAGAGACATTAAGGGGGAACACTTCAATTGAATAATATATATATATATATATATATATATATATATATATATATATATATATATCCCTTAGCTTAGAAAGAATCAAAGGTATGCATACATCAAATGCATGTGAAGAAGTCAGAAATTCAAAGAATCCTCTGGGAGAAGACTTTTTCACACCTCTGTCTAGCCAGGCTTTTCAATTACATTCCCTAAAGCATATGGAACCTGAAAATGACTGAACTGAAACTGATCAGCCTAA